AGAGAGAGAGAGAGAGAGAGAGAGAGAGAACGAATTGAGATCAAAAACGAAAAGAAAAGAAGTGATGAAATTGAAGAAAAATATACGTTACGTGAAGGAAGGTTAATGATGATGTTACAGATGTCGAACGATGGGAACACGACCACCAGCATCTTATCTTTCATGGCGACCAAAACAGATGCTGGTAGACAATTGTCGTGCCGGGCTGAAAATCCAATCATGGGGAGCGAATCGATAAGGGACGACTGGGTACTCGAGATACAGTGTAAGCGTATTAAAGACACACTGGCGGAGAAGCGACCAGTTGTCGATCAGTTACGATTATTCACCACCGGAACCGACCGACATATTGACGTTTTCAATTTGCAGACACGCCGGAAACGCGGATACAGCTGGGCACCTCGTTGAATCCCAACGAGATCCGCGAGGGAACTGACGTGTACTTCGACTGTTTGATTCACGCCGAGCCCCCGGTTTATAAGGTTGAATGGCGGCATTTGGTAAGCGGCTTTAATCGTTTATTTATATCTCGTGTTTATACCTCGACTCTCGAAACGAGAATTGAAAGGCGATTAAAATTTTCTAATTCTAAATTTACCAAACTTATATGATATATGCTCGATTCGATTAATTAATATTATTTTTAATAAATAAAAAAAGGTGCACTTTCTTTCTAAAAAATTTAAATTTTAAATTTTCATTCTCGAAGAAATAAATATCATGTTGATTATAATCTAGATAATAGTAAAACGTACGAAACTTTCGAAATGGCATGCATTACAATTTCAAGTTTGCGCGTTCTTAGCCCGTTTAAACTCGTTTCGTATTTCTTCCTTCCCGTGATCACCACTCTGTGTCTTTTTATCCCTTGACTAACTAATTTAAACAAAACCTGTTTCCGGGAGATCAAAAAGTTTCGAAAACAGTAGATTTGGGGGGGAGGGGGGAGAAAAATTTCGCGCGCGAGTCGTCTTGTTAGCGCAGAAATAAGGGTGGAAATGCAAAGTTGGGGCGAAACAAGGATATTCAAAATTCTGTAACGGCATCGATCGCGAGAAACGCGCCTCTTTATCCCGTTTTATCTTCGAACATCGTTGAAAAATGCAGCAAGATATTTCCCATGGGGATATGATATATGGCACAATTGAAACGTTCGAAATTGCATTTAAAACGACATCGAAAATTCTCCTTCCGAGAAGAATTGTAGAGAAATTTGAAAGATTTTTATATGTTATGTTTTATACAACCAGAAGAAGAAGAAGAAGAAGAAGAAGAAGAGTAGAATTTTTATAAAATTGTCGAGAAAATCTTGATCCAATGCAAAATTTCCACGCGTTATGGTATCGTATGGTGTGTATAAACTCATCAACGGTGTATCAATCACTCTTTGTTACAGGGGAAAACTCTTCACTCCAACGTCACACAGGGTATCATAATCAGTAATCAAAGCCTGGTGTTGCAAGGCGTCGACCGTAAAAGCGCAGGCAATTACACTTGCGTCGGATATAACACGGAAGGGGATGGGGAGAGCACTCCGTTTTATTTGAACGTAATGTGTACGTGTCATTAAATAAATGATCAGACGAGGGAATCCATTCTTCGTTGCAACCTCGAAACTTTCGAGAAACGAAGAGAAATTGTGTAAAAATAAACAAATTAGATCTTTTTCTTTTCTTTTCTTTTCTTTTCTTTTTTCTAATAACAACGTTCGATTTTCATCGAGTCGAAATATCTCTCTCGAGAAAGAAAGAAAAAAAGAAATTCGATCAAAGTCGTGAAACGAAGGCGTGGAATGGAAAAATTGATGCGATTCAAATCTGGAATTCCAGTCTCGCCCACTTGCAAACCGAATCAGACGAAGGTGCACGGCGTGGCGAAACAAGAAAAGGCAAACATATCCTGCCAAGTGGACGCGAACCCCCCGAGGTTCAATTCCGTTGGACCTTCAACAATTCCGCCGAGAGTATCGACGTGGCCGCCAGTCATATCGCCAGGGCCGGCACATCCTCGATCGTCTCGTACACACCTATGACGGAATTGGATTACGGCACGTTGCTCTGCTGGGCCACCAATCGAATTGGACATCAACAAGTGCCCTGCGTCTATCACATTATACCGGCCGGTGAGGTATCTTTACGTGATAATTCCATCATGGAAATTCGGCTGTGTCGGTTGCGAGCCTCGATACTCCCGCGATTTACTTATTTTCTTTACTTTCGTTTAAATTTTTATCCCACCATTATTTTTTTTTTTTTAATTTTATCACGTTGCGTTTATCGTATCGAGCAAATTAAAAATCTTGAAAAAAAAAATATTGATGTCTACTTGTCCACTTGTCTGATCAGAATCTATATCAAGATTTCACTTGTCGTAGTTCCACTCTTACTCGTTCGATAAGTGTCATAAATTCTCCTCGACTCGCTACCATCATCGACTTTACCGACAGAGACATTTAATATAAATCCGTGATTACCGCTCCTTTTCGAAATATGAAAAGCATCTATGCGCGTGTTTGTCAATCGAGAAAAGTTCGTAGGTTGAATATGAGCGGATGAAACGCGGAGAGAGATGGAAAAAAATGAAACGTTCGCGGTCGGTGGTAATTACAAAAAAAAAAAAAAAAAGAAAAAAGAAAAAAAAAGGTAGCGCTATGCTGACTTTTCAAAAGCGACAATCCCACCGTGGAAAATCGAGAAGTTCCGGGATTAAAACGGAAGTTCGTTATCACGTATGCGCGTGTATGTGTGGAAATCCGTACATGGATGGCCCTATTTTTTTATTTTTCAGTGACGAACGTGGTCATCAAACTACTGAAAAGATCCAATTGTTGAACGGAAAAAATAATGGTTGTTCGAATTTCGCGCCAAAATATATATCGAACGTTCATTACCTACATCTGATATCCGATCGACGAAGATGATCGTTTATATTTTCGTGATAATAATATATTGTATTTTTTCACGCGAGCATATTCTAACTGTCAATAAAAGTTCTACTATTTTTTTCCCCTCTCGTTCGAAAGAGGGATTAATTTCGATACTCAAAGGAGAACTTGGCCGCTTTTCGACGGCAGAGGCAACTCGTGGCGCTCGCAGAGGATCGAGACGAGCAAAGTATTTTGAGAAATTAGAAGCAAAAAAAAAAAGGATCAAAATAAAAATTCCGGCGCGTGATTACGGCAAGTCGTTTTTTGGAAACTACGAATACCCGGCAACTTTTCCTTCTCTTCCTTTGATCCCATTTTTATCCGTTTTTTCTCGCCGCGTTTCCTATCCTCTTCCCTTTCTTCCTCGTTAATTATTCTTTACGGCAAAACAAAAATTCACGGTGAAAATTAACCATCTGATATTTGAACGAAGTTTCGTAATATTCGTAATCGTGTTTCGTAATCCGTTCCAAATAAGATTGAATAATAAAACTTTTGGAATAGAGTTTTTAAAAGATCGCATTTAACCGATTCGGTGCTTTTCTGCGAAACTTTTTTTTTCTTCTTCGAAACGTGTACACAACGAGTGTATCGAACGATGTCTTCGTGAAAACAGTTATATTGCTTGTAAAATTTAAGGGAACGGTGAAAAAGAGAATAATGGCCGGGAAGCTTGGGTAAATAAGTTTAAACAGAAGCTTCCTCGCTTCTTGTTTACGCTACCATAAAGAGATCGAGTTTCAGACGAAACATAAAGTGCTGCACTCTTTGTCAATCTAATATTTCGCAACGAAATTATTTCTCAGTATAGAACCGTTATATACGAACTTATCCTTTCTGTACTTTTTTTTCTCTTTTTAGGATTTTTAATCATTCTCCATTAAAGTACAATATATGTATCCATTGCCTCGTTCCATTTATCGACATTAATAGCAATAGCTTTCTATTATATCGATAAGCTAAAACGAATCTCTCTTTGCTTTTATTAATTAATTAATAATTCTTCGAACGTAGACATAAAAATAATGGAGAAGTTAATTGACAATTTCTTATGAATAAATAAAAGTATCTATGATTATCTTTTAGACTTAACTGTAATCGTATCCCGTCATTTGTTCTAATAAAAATTTTCAAACGAAACTTCAAATCCACGATTTATGAACGATTGCAAAATTGTAAATTACACATCTCCAAGAAATCAGAAAAATAAAATAAAAAGCCAGGAACGAAACAATGATCATGATAAGTGAAACGAGATAATTATGATCGGAGCAAGCAATATGAATTGCAATTGGACAAGTAGTACGAACCAATCATAATCAGACAATATGACACTATTACTGATCCGAATAGCAGAACTCGTCTTCAATAAATAGAAGGATTCGCGAATCCTTTATCATATTAAAATAGTACGTTACCGGTGTGCGCATCAGGTCGGCCCGATATGGTTCACAATTGCACCACTTTGAACACGTCGACCAACTCGTTCTCGGTGCGATGCACGGAAGGGTTCAACGGCGGCCTACCCCAGTCCTTTCTTCTCGAAGTGAGGGAGAGCAACAGCCAGGAATTGCGTGCTAATCTGACATCGCCTGTGCCACGTTTCAGCGTCACCCATTTGGAATCAGGCGCCCTTTACCAGGCCTGCATTTACGCGTACAACGATAAAGGGCGGAGCGAGGCGATGGTGGTTCAGGCCGGGACCATCAGGCTACCTGAAAAACAATTAACGTCAGAGTCAGGTTAGTGAAAATTATACTTGTGCTCTACTATACGAAAAATAAAGATAGAAATATAGGATAAGAGGTTGTTGTTCGTGGTACAAATGATCTGATACGAGAAAAAATAAGCGGGGAAGAGGAGCAAATCAATTTTTTGAAAATATTTTAAATATAATTAAAATTATATCGACTTATTTTTCTACGAAGTTGTATTACAAATAACGTGCTCATACAACAGCATCGTTCATCTTTTTTAAATGAAATTCGTTTAAAAATTTATCGACAAAAGAAATTATTCGCGAATAAATAGATCGAATTGTAAAACGACTTTGAACAAGTTTCATCGACAAAAGAGAGGCTGAAATGAAGAGGATAAATTTCAATTCGCGGTCGTGACGAGATCTTTGTGCATGAAATAATTTATCCATCCATGGCAGGAAATTGTTTCATTATGCCGTAAAACTGGTTCCTGTTAAGGCTGATTTCACATCCGTTTCGATCGAAATCGAATATTATTCGTGTTTTCGCTTTAATATCCGGAAACCGACAGAATTCGTCAAATTTATTTTTTAAACATATATATATATAAAATTTAAAAATTGCATTTTATCGTTCTAGAGAGGCCGAGACAGAACATCAGGCTTATGCCAATGCTGAGCGTGATGATCGGCGTGGTGACCGCTTTGATCATCGTCGCGGTAATAGTAATGGTCGTGCTCAGAATTCAGCACACGCAGGTGGACGAGCAGAGCAAGTCGCAAATGGAGGACCACGGCAAACAAACGAAACCGGCTCCGATCCAACGGGAGCTGAGGTTTCGCGAGGGAAGCAGTTTGCTCACGGATGAAAAACATCCCAGCAGCCCGTTCAGAAAGCTGGAGAGCAGCGGTGACATAAGCGAAAACGACGAGAAGAATCCAGATATCATACCTCAGCAAATCACCGGTTCGTGATTTCCAAAGATTCGACTAGATTCGCTACTTCGCTTCCTTTCTTTTTTTTTTTTTCTGAAGAATATCTTTTTATTTGGGAATAGATCCAAGTTTTGAAATGGACGACAAACAAAAATTCTTTCAACTATATATATAACACATATCCTCGATCCCTTCGAAAATTGTCCGTAGTTAGAATTACTAATTTCTAATTATCGCGTTGGAAAGCAAACTTGAAACTTATATGTACACACACAGGCGACGAGCCGTCCGAGTACCTGAGAAAGAGGCGGCTCGTGTCGACAATCGAAACATCGCCATCGAGAAGTTTGCTGGAACACTCGACGGTCACTTCCGTAAGCGGGCACAGCAGTTACGTCGGTTACTGCACCATTCGTAATGGCATGCCGTTGCACGAGTTCTCGAATCTGACGACCAAGCATAAAAGCGTAAGTTTCTAATTCGCGCTAATGCGTTTCCCGATTATTCGCAATTACATTGCTCCCCGATTACAACTATTCCATCCAACCAACTTCCTCCCAGATACTCCCTCTCCCTCGAGCATTTCCACACACGCTTGTCGTTTTCATTCGATCCGCTCCCACAACAATGACGACAAAACGATTATTTGCCTCGTCCATTTGTATGCAACGACGAGTCTCAAGTCGCTGGAACGTTCAAAGGGCATCGATCACCGTGTATCCATAAATTGCAGTTTCAGCCAATAGTGGGCGACGATTATCAAAGCGGGGTTTGCACGCTCCCGAGGCAACACTGGCCGAGCCAAAGCGTTCAATCAATGTCGATGACGATGAGCCCGCCGATGCTCTACACAGGCCTCGGTGTCGTCACCAGGACGTGCCCCGCTACCACGTTGCTCGCCAAGGACGTGGAGGCCAGGATCCCGGCGCAATGTTGCATCCAGTCGCAGAAGGACGGCAAGATGAGCACACCGATCGTCATGGCGAAAAGGGAGAGCTCCGTGTGACACTTTTGTCGCTCCCGGACCAGCCACGTTTGAACAATTAATCTCATCGTTTCGTTTCTCGAATCTCTCTGTACAAATACTGGTGATCAGCGACGATTGGAGCATCGTTCGAATGTACGGATCAAAGATAAAAAGAATCGTTTCGTGGATCGTGCAGTAATTGGAACGAAGGATCGTTACGATGATTCCTTTCCTCGGTTTCGAATCTTTTCATCGTATTATCTTTTGCCTCCTGCTATCGTGCAATTCGAGCGAATTAAATCACGTATAAAAAGAACGATAGTAGTTCGCGATAGTAGTCGAATAAAGTGAGAAGAATTGAAAACGCGATCTTGAATTGTATCAAAGGAATCGTTACCTTGTTATAACAGTGTAATCTCGAAAAACGGATAGATTGTGGTAATTTTCCTCGATAATTAAGGGATAATCGCCGAGTGGGAAAACATTTTTTATTTTTATCGATTATTTCCGACGAACAACCCGTACATTCCAAATCGACCAATCGTCGATTTTGTGTTCAGAGACATTCGATAGTCGCGTGTGTGAAAACGATGTGAGCGTAAATAAAGCGGAATACTTACATATATATATATATATATACACACATATATATATGTAGAACCGCACGCAAATTGGAAACGAGGCCGGTTGTATTTCGAACGAATTTATTTCCTCCGCTCGCGATAATCATCGCGTTTAACGTCTCTCTGTTCGATCAAGTGCCCTTTTTACATTGAACGGACGATTCTTGAGCCACCGTGTGTGAATATATTTAGAAAAAAAAAAAAAAGAAAGAGAGAGAGAGAAAAGGAGAGGAGGAAAAGAAAAGTAAAGAAAAAGGAAACATGCGTTGGGGATAATCGCGCGTAATGGTAAAAGACGTGCGAGTGCGACCGGGAACGAATTATTGATAGGGGAAATATATACTTATACATATGCGTGGGGTTTCGCTCGTGCTGTACATATACCTTGAATACGAAGGATATTTTATACAGATTGCTATAGTATAAGGATGAGAGAAAATTATAAAAAATAAAAAAAAAGAGAAATAAATGAGGGAGCGAAGGAGGAGGAGGGAGGGAGGGAAGGGGGGGGGAGGAGATAGAGTAAGCGAGAAGCCATTTGTATCCCATTTTTACCGGTTATGGTAAGAAGAGAAGGGAGAAAAAAATATACACATTGTACAATTCCGTTTAGCCGTTGTAAGTATAAATAATGTATATGGGTATATAAATCGATCGAGGCAGCCAGAATAACGTACACTGAGAAATGTCCTACGACATGACGAGTTTAAATAGTCAATGGGAACAAGAATTTCACATGTGTGTGTGTATATGTTCGATATCGAAGAGGGGGGGAACGACAAGGACGTAGAAGACATATCGTACAGCTTTTCCATCAGTGAAAAAAAAAAAAAGAAAATTGAAATTAAAAGAAACGAAGCATTGGAAACGAGATGAATCGAACGGAAGAAAGAAAAAAATTGTAATAAAAAAAAAAAAAGAAGAAGAAACATGAAAAAAGATCATCTCCCGTTGCTTTCGTCAGTATGCAGTATTCTGGATTTTATTGTAAAATTACGTATTTGTATAATGTATAAAGTAATGATTTTCCTTCTGGGTAATGATTCGAGGATGAAAGCAAAAATACAACAAGAAAAAGGAAATCCCCTTTCGTCGTGCTCTTGTAAAATTATTAATATGTTTCGATGCTTGAAAAATTCAAAGATCGTTGTATTTATTGTTACAATAAGAAAACTTGAACATTTGATTCTCGTTTGATTTGCAAAATTCAGAATAAATATTATAAATTACTTTTAAATTATATTTGACCTATTTCGATACTTTTAACATTTTTAAGATTCACAAATTGAATCTTAAAATTTGTATCTTAATTTTTATTCTAAAACTTTGCAGATCAATATGAGAAGATTAGAAAATATAATATATTTTCCATAAAAAATGAGCTAAAGAATTGTAAATGTATTATTGTATGATATGTATGATGACTTCTATCCACGAATCGTTACTAGAAGCTCGTGAAAGGGAAAAAAAGACGAATATTTATAGCTTCCTTGATCGTTAAGCACAGCAAAGATGAGAAAACAAAAAAAGAGGAGAGAGAAAGAGAGAGCTTTCGCTTCGCTCTGTAAATGTCTCCTTTTCCTAATAAGTGGTGAAACACATTTGTGTGCATGCGTGTGTATCTCAGAGAGAAAGAAAATATTTGGTGGGAAAAAAGAAGGAAAAGGAAAAAGTACGGAAACATCTGGATAATTTAACAGATAACTCAGTGTAATACGGTCATAGGAAAATGGCGAACAATGGTTTTTCACGAATCATTCGTGTAAATATTATCGAGAATTAGTCGTTCTTTCGAATCCTCTAGATGAATGTGTTCTTTCGATCTTTAGTCGTTAAGTTTTATCCTCGAAGACACGGTGTCTGATTGTAATAAAATTAAAAAAGATAAAGAAGAAAAAAAAAGAGAGAGAAAGACACACCGCGTTGAGAAAGAGAAACGCGCGAATGAAATAAAAACTCGTTATTTATTATTGCCATTGATGGAATTGATATCGGCGCATAGCCAGTGTACTAAAGGGAACTTTACTAATCGTTATGATTAAAAGAAAAACACCTATTTCATCTTGTACTAAGCGTCTTACGCTAAAAGGCTGAACAAAAAATTTAATACGAATTCATCCTGACACGATAGTGATGCGCTAGTATCGTTTCGAATGATCTCGAAGGCGCTTAACGAGTTTCGCTAGCAGCACAATAAATCTTCAACACAAACTGCCAATATAATATCTTTTGATAATTTATTCGAACAATTCTCCATAATAACATCAACGAAACGGTCTAAACCGAACGGTATCGGTATTGGATTGAAATTTTATTTCATCATCGATACTTTCATCATCATTGTTCAAAAAACACGAGATATCGATAGCAGAGAAAAATAGTTATTCATTTATTTCTCTTCTTTTCTTTTCAATAATCATTATATTCTTCAGAAAACAAACTGATAATATAATATTTCAAATTGATAATCAAATAAATCTTTAAAATTAAATTTTTAAAGTTTTCAATAAATAGACTTTGATTTGGAATTGGGCTTTTTCTTATTATTTTCTCTCTATTAATTTTTGTCATTTTTCTTGAGTTCGGGGCAGAATATCATATCGCGAGGTGCCGGCCAGATGATATCTGCAAAATAATCACCATCATTCTAAATAATGATATTCTTTCATCTTTTGTGAAACTGTTCTTCTAATGCAGAATCATTTGATCAATACGCAAAACATCTTGTGGTCTTTTATATGTAAATTATATAAATTATCAAGACTTATTGGAAATATAAATTCTTCAAAATATCTGAATGATTGTTCGGTAAGATATCTGGTATCTTCTTTCAATTATCAATTAGTTATGCTATTTGACAGTGGCGAAGATTTACTTCCGTTTCTGTTTTTTTTTTTTTAAATTAAGAAGTCACGAATATTCACATTATAAAATATATTTAATATCTTCTCTTGTTAATTTGTTCTGAATTACGCAGGATAGGAATAATTCGATTGATAATAAAATATAAAAGAAAATTATATGTACGTATTTCAAACGAAAGTAAATCAAAGTTTGTTTTTGTAAAGTAAATTTAGAAAAAAATCGAATGTGAAAATGCATATATACTCGATAAACATTTGAAACAACAAACTCAAAAAAATTGTAAATATTATTTCTTTTTAAATTAAATTTATCGTAATATTTTCTAAAATCAATATTCTTTTCTAAGAAATATTATCTTCTTTTCTTCACGAATTGTTTCCAATCCTACATTAATATTCTAAGAGATGCTATGTTACGTCATTAAATGTTACCTTATATTTGTTTAAATGACAAATTTTAATTTATTAGTTAACATACAAAATTTCATTAAATATATTATAAATTGAAATTTGCGTGATAACCATAAAATATCCAAATAATACCGACCAGCGTTTACACATCTATTTGCTTCGTTATTATATATCTTACAGTAGCCAGAAATAAGAGCCAAAAAAATCTTTTTAGATTAATAATAATACATGAAAGCACCGTTTCAGCCGTATATCGCCTGTATATTTTTAACGATCGAATTTGACCAGCTGCTTTTGCAAAAGGAAATACAAAAAAAAAAAAAAAAAGAAAAAAAAAAGAAAAAAAGAAAAGAAATCATTTGAATGAAATTTGTATATGTAATTAGTTTAGTGATACAAATTTCATGTATCCCATAAAAAAAGACGTTTTTTTGATATTGTAAATACTCTGAAATAAATAATCGTTTTTATTCAACTATTGTTTGTTATTTCTTTCAAAAAAAAAGAAAAGAAATTTCCATACGAAAAAAGAATTATGATTATATAATATTTAAAAGATTATAATTAAAATCAGTTTTTATTTGCTAAGTATCTCGATGATCAAGTTCGTAAAAAAAAAAAAAAAAAAAAAGAAATTTGCGCAAATGTGATTTCGTTGAATAGAAATTACCTGAATACAAATTAACCGTTGGTGTGACAGAAAATATTTTCAAATAGTCTTCAATAGTTAAAATTACAGGATGTTTTACATTCAATAAATACTCTAATAATGTGCTTTCAGGATAATACCGTACAAACTTTTCATTTAATGTTTTCACGACTTCATTCATTGGAATTGTCTTTGTAAAAAATATTTTTCTATTAATTTTCGATTTTTAACGATTGATTTCAATTTTAATAATTTTAATAAGAAATCATTATTTTGCTATTAGAAAAACTTACAGTATCTTTAATCGTATTTGATATATTATCACACAATATATAAATTTTTCTAAAGCAATTTGTCATTTGATGTAGAATATCATCCAATTCAAATGATGTAAATGGTTGTATTAACGAAGGTGGCACTAAATACACATGGGACCATTGCGAAAAAAAATCTCTGCGAATTTCAACCAAAGAATGTTTTCTTTTTTTTTTTTTTTATTCAATATAAATCTCACCTGATGAACGTGATGATAAGTTGGAAGATAAATTGCTCTTTTTATTTTAGACTTTTCATTTTGATAATTACTTAAAGCTTTGAAATGTCTATAAATTATATCTTCTGCCGCCTATGATAAGAAAATCTATTTTTCTTATGAAATCGTTAAAATAAAAATATCTATTCAAATATTCTAATTTTGAAAATAATTTTTTACTTAGTTCACGTACCTCTATTACATGAACAAAATATTTAGGATAAATAAGAAATAATCCAGTGATAGGAACATTGATATAATCTTCTTGTAAACTATGTATTATAGATTCCATTTGCTGGAAATTATGTTTTATGCACCACATGAATATTGTTTTATGATATTTCGTAGAATTATTTTAACTTTATCCATAATTAAAATTTCTTTATAACTTTGATTAACTATATTAGATTCATACCTGTTCTAAGTTTACATTTTCACCAATATATTCTCCAATATACGTAACACGTGTTATATATGTAATCTACAAATAATATATTGTTCTTACTTAACTGATTCAAAAATTTAAATCGATGGAAGTAGATGGCGCTTCAATACGAATTGACGATTTCAAATAAATACATTTATTTATGAAATAAAAAATACTTGAGAAAAATATATTCATATATTACTATTCTTGATATCTTAAATAAGTTGATTAAATGATAATTGATTGAAATTAAATTTCTCACCTTACCAGTAGCTTGAAGATTTTTTCTGATCACGTCCAGCAAACTTTTTCGAACAGGTTCAACTACGCGTTTCATAGCATATAATGTTTTACACTTGTTTTTCACAATATTATATATACAATGAAATAATATTAAATAAATTCAAAAATATTTCAAACACTAATAATATTATAAAACTGATTTTAATCGATAATATTTATGCACAACACTAATGACGCGTCAAAACTATCAAACACTTCGAAGCTCAATGGCGGATATTCACAATTACTACGTTAATCGTTCAATTACAATTGAGTTGCTATTTTTCAAAATTATCATTTTATTTAAAAATCTTGTTTAAATATTATAATAACTTATAATAATTCAAGATTAATTTATAAGGATTTATAGTATTTATAATTAATGTACATTGATATACAATATATTACAATTTTATAAATTTCTAATTCAATCAACGTTGTCTTTCCGCGTCAATTTCAATTTCATTTGAAATTTAATATAATATATATTTTTTAATGTATAATATTTATCTTATAAAAAAATAACAATTTTTCTGCTAAATATATTTTATTTTAATTGAATACAAATAAATCATATATCATAGTTTTAAGGAATAATATATGTAAAATTATAATTTGCTAAAATTAAATGAAATTTATAAATTAGATTCATATACAAAACATAATTAATAGTGATACTTATGCATAAATAACTATTACTATCTACTATCACATTATTATGATTATAACAAATACATATCTAAAAAAAATTTTATATTTTTTGTTTTTAAATGAAATTGTAAATATGAAATTTTATTTTTTATATAGAAAGTAAGTTCTATTTTTTAAGTAATATTAAACATAAAAATATAAAATTGTTTATTTTCATATTTTTTAATATTACTAAAAACTGATTAATTGTATTACTTTTTAGCCCTTGGACACTCTAAAATTGGAGGTGGAGGTGGAGTTGGTTCACTAGGATTTCCCAACCATACTGATTTACTAAAACGACCCTTTATAACTGGTGGCTGCCATTTATTGCTGCACATGACTGTAACTGTAGGCTTCTCTGCAGTGACAGTTGCTATTGTTATTGCTCTGAAAATGAAATAAAATCTATTTAGGCAATGATAAATTATCCTTTATTATCAACAATCAAAACTAATAAACTTAAATTTTCACTAAAATAATAATACAAAACTTACTGTAAGATGATCTTTTATTACTAAAAAAATAAAGAAATATTTATCAACAATTAATTTATTTTTTTATAAATTACTTAAAGGTAGGTAAAAATAAAAAAGTATCATAATGTATATTTATTTATTAATGAAAAAAATGTATTACAAATTGAATGAAATATATACTTTTTGTAAAATATTTTTCAAATTTGTTTTCAAATACATACATAATAATTCAATATTTACAATAATTTTAACGCTGAATAAAAATATATGTGATTTAAGTAATTAACACACCTAAAATTTATTATTTAATAAATCTTTTTATATTAAAAGTTATAAAATATTTTTGATTAATAATCTCTTCAATAATATATTCTTTGCTAATTTCTAATAGCAAGATATCGCTCTTTTTTCAAGTAAAAATTTGTTTAAAATAGATATAAATAAACAATAAGTTTATCATTTTATCAAAATAACTAAATGATTAAACAATATGATAGGTTATATTATAAATAATTCTAGTAGAACACTTACTTTATAATTATATTATTTAACAAAAAAATACAAATTACTAAAAGAATAAAATAAGATGCAATGCTATGAAATTATAATTGTTTAGTATATTATTTAATTGATTTAACTATTAAAAATACAAAATATTTGTTCAAAAATAATAATAGTTATTATATAAATATAAATCCAATATTTTCCAAAATTTCTGACATTATATGAAATAATAAAATTATTAAGTATGTTAAAAAATAAATCATTTTCTCTAATGCCAAGGCACTTGGTTTGGATGACTGATGGAACCCAATTTGTAGTACCTTGTTGTAGAAGATGTTTGTTGTATTCCTGTTGAATGATTAGGCGGTGTTGCTGCTATAGAAGTTTCAGCACTTTGAGCAGAGGTGCCATCACCTTTCAAAACAGCAACGCATTTCCAATTGTTAATATAATTATCTTTCCATAATCGAACACAACCATCATCTCCTGAACTTGCTAAAATAGTTCCCATAATATTCCAACATACTCGCCATACAGTAGGATTATGATCAGAAAACTGTGCTGCTATATTAATTTCAAAACGTGATGAACCACTTTGTGCACTATCCCTATATTAATAACATTTTTATCTAATTTCTTATATTCAATACTTATAGAATTAAAAAAAAGTTATACTCACAGTGTAGGTTTTAATGTAATTATTTGTACATCATTTGATGCAATAGCCAATGTGTGAAAACTTCTACCTAAATTTGGAGCAAATGCAATATCATGAACAGGATCAACAATGGATAATGTTTGTGTTTTTGTCCATCGTCTACTACTTTCAGAATATTCATATATAAAAACTTTTCCTTCAGATGATGGATTTGGATCATCACTTCCAACTGCTATCATTGGAGGATGTAATCTGATATAAAATAATTGATTAATATTTAATTTCTATATTTGTAATATATATTATATAAATTTTAACAATTTTTTATACCTTGAAAGAGATGGATTCCATGATAAACAGCTACATTGAAGTTTACAACTAATGTCATGTTGTAGGGTCCATTGACTTAAATTCATAACATCAGGAGCTTCATATATTCTAATTACTCCATCTTCACTACAAGTAGCTAATAAAAGTCCTAAAGTTTTAGGTGCAAATTTTACATCTGTAACAGTCTTTCTAGAATCTACTAGATTTGTTCTTCGAACCCAATGTCTCATACCACGTTCTCCTGGTCCTGATCCTTCTCCAACTACAAATAAAATTAATAATAGCTATAAAATAATTAATAATAATATAGAAATTAAAAATTAAAAATCAATTAAAATTAAAATTAAAATTAAAATTAAAAATCAATAATAATAATACCTATCTCTTCCCATACAGCTGCTGTCCTATCAAAAGAACATGTTGCTAAAACTTGACCAAATTCTGGATGTGCCCATGTTACTTTAAATACAGATCCACTGTGTGCTTTCCAAGATGCAGTTAAATGCCAATTTCCATGTTCATCTTCATCCCAGACCTACATATATTATATAAATTTATAATTATTATATGACTACAATAGAAATTGTTCATAATACAAATACAATTAACAATTGCAAAAATCTTACTTTTACAAATTGATCACTAGAACATGTTGCCATTCGTTGTCCATAAAAGTCATAAGCAATATCATGAATTAAATCTTTATGTTCAGCATTAATACTATGTGCTTCAAACATCTTTAATATTACAAAATAAAATAAATTTCGATATTATTATATAGATTATTATCAAATACAATTATTATCAATATAAATAAAGGTTAGGAAATATGATTAATAAACTTTTTTATAAAATCAGCCAAATGTGAAAAAAATCATAAAATTAAATTTTTATAATTTAATATATAAATCAAACATCATCATCAAAATCATTTATTTTTTCAACAATTTACTTTTATATTATTAGAAACGAGGAAAAACACTGTAGAATTCTAATTTACTAACATCCTTTATGACCATTATAATTATGTAAATAAAATATGTATGAAATTTTTAAAACATAAAAACAAAATTATCAATATTAAATTAATAGAAAAACTTTATTTTTATTTCTTAAAGTTTGTATTTTCAATATATTATTTGAATGCATTTCAATAAACCGGTACATTCTAAGTACATTGTCACTAGCTATAATAAATTAATATTAAATCTTAATATGTATATTATTGGTATATTTAAAAATAATTAAAGATTTATTGTATTTATTTTTTATATTAATAAAATATAATAATATATCATAATATTATAAATTTATTTTAATAAAAATTATAAAAAATACACATATCTAATGTATTATATTACTAGTTATATTTATCTTTCACTAGTAAATTATTAATCTGAAATATATAAAATTTAACTTTTTTATTAATTCATTTCTATATAGAATACAGAATATTATACATTTTATAATTTTTTAATATTCTGTAATTTTTTACAATTTTATAACTTCTAACTAACTAAGAAGAAAGTTCTATGAACGACTAGAGATTGTTTCGCGACAAATTATCGTGAAGTTAGTGTATAACGTGTCAGACCACGTATGTCATTCAAACAGACTGAACTGTGTATTATAAAATAATTCTGTAAGGTAATTATATGTTTCATCATTAATTAAATTATTAGATAATTTTTTATAAGATTTTTCTATGTAATTTTAAATATTTTCTTCGTTAAATTAAATATTTATATTATTCTTTCAATATTTTATATTTTAGATGATTACAGATGTACAGTTGGCTGTATTCTGCAACATTCTCGGAGCAACATTATTTTGCTTAGTATTTCTTTTTCACTATGTATATGCAAATTATACAAAATAAAAGAGTAACATGTTGTTACTGAACATAACCTTAACTTGCACTTTACATGGAATTAAATGGAATTATACATCTATATATTGTATTTTATATTGATAAATATGATAAATCAAAATAAATGATTTAATATTGAAAAATAGTTTTAAAACAATAATATTTTCTCTAATTCTTATATAAATAACATGTAAATTAAATATTGAAAAATATTTATTCAAAAATAATCGATGTATATGTAATAATGTAATGCAATATTAATATAAGTTGTATATATTTTATTTAAAATAAATATATCATTTTTAAGTACAATTTTCATAATAACTATCAGCATATATTTACCTTGCATAAATAATATGAAATAAAAAAGATAAAGATTAGTTACTATCTTCAGAGTATTTTAAAACAATGAAGTTAGTCACTTATAACTCGTAATTGTACATAGTCAATGTATTATTATGTCTTTTGCATACATAGCTACATACGGAAAATTCACAATATAGTTTTGGACATTTAACGTGTAAATTTAGAAAAGTTAATCAGCAATGACTGACGATTCTAATGGAGAATCTACATTCGAATTTGTTGAAAGAAAGACAGATGAATCATCTACATCTGGAGAAATAGTAAAAACGGGTAAGAAAAAAGGCAAAACATAAACACTTGCGTATCTGTCAAATTTTTTTACAAGTGAAAAGATTTACATTCGCTATAATTAATTAGCACAATCTGTCATATAGCAAAACATATTAGAAATTAATTGTAAAAGATAAATATTTAAAAAATATAACATGAAATAACAAATATAAAATAAATTTAAATTTATAATAAATAAATTTATATTTAGCAAATTGTATCTTATTATATAAAATATTTTATAATATATTTAAACGAAAAATAAATATTACTTAAGAAGAAAATAATTTATTAATTTTTAATATTAATATATTATTAAAATATTGCTCATATAGATAACAATAATCATATAATTTTCAGATTCTTTTAGCAGTTTATCATCATCAACATCTTTATTAATGCCACTAGGCATATCAACATCTACAGGCAATTTATTATCAAATGTAGCACCACCTAGTGCATTACCTAGCTTTATTTCAAATTCTGGAACATTGATATCAGAAAGGCCTAGTAATTTGGAATCATCTACGCAAAAGAAATTTCATGAACAGGAACCTACTAAATCAATGTTAAATACTATTATTCAATCTAAACCATTACAGCAAGAAACACATCAAACAACTGTAACTTCTATTATTACTCCGTCCACACAAAATGTACCAACTACTATACCATCAGAAACTGTGGCTCAAGATTCAGGAATGGTTGGAGTTGGTTTATTGTCATGGGTTAAAGAAACAGTAGTAAATAGTAATGTATTGAGCAAAGTTGCAGAAAAAGCAAAAAATAGTGTTAATACTATGATCACAACATTAGATCCTCAGATGCGTGAGTTCATTTGTAAGTAAGAAAGCTACTAATCCTGACATGCAAGTAAAAGTAATTTAATCCTTTTCTATTTTGTAAATTTTTGAATTTATTTGGTATTTTATTTTGTATATTTAAATATATATCATTGTATGTGTAATTATGTTATTGCATCATATCTGAAAGGAATATATATATGTAGTGTGTTATTTTTGGATGATCTGCAAATCAAATATAATTCGCTGTGTCACTGTCATTTACAAAAAACTTTTTCATTTTTTATTTATTGAGCTGAAATTATATAATATATGTATAACAGTAATATAAGCCACATATAAAAAAAAATAATTTCATAATTTGCATTATAAATAAAAGCTGTGAAAATTTAAGGTTATAACTTAAGAACTTTTATAAATAAATATTTTTATAAATAAATGCTTTTTCATCAATTATGCATATATTTATGCTCAGTATTATAAAGCATTATTTTTGAAATCAATTTATTATAATAAGTATTATGTTTTGTGCCATTACATTGCAATAAAATGGCAATAAAACTTTTTAAAATATAATAATAATAAAATATAAAAATATAAAAATTTCATACTATTTATATATAAATGTAAATTATAACATAGTGACTGTGCAACATGTTAGTCAATGTAAAAACATATATGCGGGCTCTGTTGAAAGTATACATTTCAGATTCTGGTGGTGACATGGAGATTATAGTTGCATCAGATAAAGATGTTAAAATAAGTCCTGTACGTCAGGCTTTTCAAACTGTTTTTGGAAAAGCAACAGTAACGTGAGTAATGATATAAATTATATTTATTATATTTATACTATTTTACTCTTATTCAAACAATTCATTATTTCTATAGTGGTGTCTCAGTAGAAAGTTCTGCTGTAGCTGCTCAACCAGTTGGTTTTGCTGCTGGTGTAAAAGGAGCAGAAGAGAGAATTAATTCTGCACGAAATATTCCAACCCTTCCAAAAGATATACCTATAATTGCAGTGGAAAATTTTTTGTTAGAAGTTGGTGAAGATAAGTGGTATGATTTAGGGGTGATACTTCTTAATGACCCCAAACGTAATGTGAATTTACAAACCTTCACTCAAATGACTCCAGTACCAAGTCAAATAGTAACAATGGCACAAGAAGCTACACCTGAAGATTATCCTCTTAAATGGTCTGGATTGTCAGTTACTGTTGGTAGTTTAATGGCAAATAGCTTACAGGTTAGTTCAAATAAACATAATAATTATATTCAAAATTGTAAAAAAATTTTTTCCTGTAGGTTAATCATAATGAATGGCATCATGCACTTACTGGAATTTCTAGAAGGGACATTATACTTTTAGCAGTTCAATCACTAGCTGGAATTTATAAAAATACAATTAATCCTGTCTAAATTTTTATGAAAAATACATCGACGCAATTTATCAATAAATTGCGTTTTTGTAAATATAACTATAATAATAGTATACTTGTATCAGTTGCAAAATTTATTTTTTAGGCTCTTATTTTAAATAAGTATCTAACATTTTATCACATTGTTGAAACGAAGATTCAATTTCAATTAATGTGACATACTTCTATTAAATTAGTATTTATAAATTAAGAAAATGTATTTTAATTATATATGGCAATATGTACAAAAAATCAAAGAAATCAAGACAAAATATATAAAAAAATAGATTTGGTATACTGAATGTGATTATTTCATCACATGTTAATGATAAATATTTTATCAAAATAAAGATATATTTTATTAAAATAAAATAATTAATAATTTTTATATAGTTTTATGTAATTTTTTTTTTTGTTTCCTGATTCCATGAAACTTTGAAATAATTTTGAAGTTGGGTATTTTTTTGTAAGAATAATAAAATACATTTATAATTCCATCTTTAATTTCTTGATGTATTGTTTCAATGAGTACATTGCTGTTGTAGATTTTTTATTATCAGATAACTTTAAAATTCGTCCAATTGTTTGAGAACACAAACAGAAAAATTAAAACTAATTATGGTAAAAAAGCAATGTAAAAAATTACGGTTTTTGTTCGTATTTTTTTATACGAAATTGGCAATAAGTTATCACCATAATAAAAATAACAATTGAATTTTTATCTGATGCTGATATGCTAAAAACAAAGCCACTAGAGATCTTGATAATGTGGCATGCTTAATTAAATAAATGTATAAAATATTTCTCCTTGCGCTAATATATGTACTTTCCATTATAATTACAATTTATTATTTTTTCCCATTTATAATCATGTGATTTTTACGGTTCTTTGCGCAAAACAAAGTTCATAATAAACCGATGTAGATTGTATACGGTCCGAGCGATATTAATTGAATTACAATATTTAAATAGATATTTAAATATGGTGCGCGAATCTATGGTTACAATTTGTCAAGGTATGCATTCAAATCTGGGAGACCTTCTTTTAATCCTTTTCTTTTACGTGTTTCCTAAAAGAATAATTATATTTAGTCATATACATAGATTAAAAAATATATATATATATATAACAAAAAAAATGTTTGTTTCCCTATTCAGGTAAGTCAAAATATATTATTGAAATACCAAAACAAAAAACAGTTTCTTTTCCACGAGATTAAAAATGGTAATATATTTATATTTACTTATTACCATCAGTTATGATCGTGGATAAATATAAATTTTAAATCAGATAAATTACCTGCACGACTTGGTAAGGTCTAGAGTTAGGTTCCATTGGATCACCAGGCAAAATTTGCCAGTGGTCGAATACACATTGTGGGAAAGCTTGTCCTCCGGTGTTAGAACGTAAGTCGGCAGTAAAGCCAAAGGACTCATTAACTGGAAGATATGCTTTAACTACAAACATAGGTGTACCAGCGATTTGTTGTTCTTCAAATACATGACCTCTTCTTCGGTTAAGCACACCATAAATACCACCAACAGCTGTTTCAGGGCACTGAAATTTTAATTTTAATTCATTAAAATTTAAAATTTTCATCATAATAATTAAAATGTTTTTTATAATTAAAAATCATAAAATAAAATTTACCTGAATTTCACATAAATAAACTGGTTCCATGAGTCGAGGAGAGGCAGTGAGGAGACAAGCATAAAGGCAACGTCTTGTGGTAGGAATAATTTGACCACCACCTCTATGAATAGCATCAGCATGTAACGTTACATCGTGAATATTGAAGCGTACACCTCTTAAATTTTCTTCCGAAAGAACACCCTATAAAATAATTAATATGTAAAAAATCATGTTTTCAAATATTCTTTATTTTTCTATATAAATTTAATATTATACCTCTTTCGTGGCCCATTGGAATCCAGCTACAACAGAATCTTTAATTTCATTAAGATATTGTACTCCCTTCGTACAATCTACAAGAATATTGGGACCAGTTCCATCAGGTCCAAAACACCAAATCTTTCTAGCTTCAGTCACATCATAGTCATACTTTTCATTTAAATAACGAGCACGTACTTTGAAATCATCCCTTGGATTAACTTCACCCTATAAAATATTAAAAATTAAAATAAAAAAAAAAAAAAAAAAAATATTAATCATAAATTTTTATGAAATTTAAACATACACTATCAATATCTTCAGCAAGACCATCAGGCATTGGACATGCCATCATGAATAAACGATTATGTTTGTTAGGTGATTTCGAAAGACACATTTGATTTGATTGTTCAGAAATTGTTTCTCTATAAGAAACGACGGGATCCGATTTCTTAATAGGTATACAAGCATGATCTTCTTCTAAATCTTTCAAACAAATTTCAAGATGAAGTTCTCCAGCTCCAGCAATAATGTGCTCTCCTGATTCTTCTATAATACATTGTACCATAGGATCTGATTTTGCCAAACGTTTAAGACCTGAAGACGAATCACTTTATTAAAAAATATCAATATATTTATCAAATATAATTTAAATAATAATCACTTTCAGATTTGTAAATAAAATCACGATTTATCATAACCCAATGCTCAAAATATAATTTCATCCTTAATAGTAAGTAAATATATCAAAGTGAAAAATTTTATTTAGAAAAATAAATAAATATACCTTCGACTAATTTGGGTAAATCGGCTGGATTTTTGGGTTCGACAGCAACACGAACGACAGGTGAAACCGAAAATTTCATAACTTTCATGTTATGTGCATCTTTAAAAGTGGTTATAGTACCAGTTTTCACTAAGAATTGATCAACACCAACAAGTCCACAAATATTACCTATTTTTAAATTACAAAATAGTTAATCTTAAATGTATAATTTTATTTATGTATAAATTTTAATATTTTAATATTATTATTATTAATCAAATATCAGCTGGCCGTTCTATTGTCAATCAAAAATTATCAGAACAGGTCTGTGAGAACAATCATCATTGTATTTTTAATAAGCTTTAATAACTTAATTATATAACTTAATTATAGTAAGAGATTTACTAACCAGAAGGCACATCTTCAATCGCTTCAACGTAACGACCCATCATCAAAATTGTACGCTGGATAGCTTTCTCATAAAGATCTTCTTTTTTACCCGGTTGGAAGTTAGGCCCCATAATACGTGCTTTCATTCCAGTGCTTACTTTTCCAGAGAATACACGACCAAAAGCATAGAAACGTCCTTTATCAGAGGTTGGTACCATTTTTGAAACATACATCATGAGTGGCCCATTTGGATCACAATTCTATAAAAGTTTCGTTAATGTATAAACTTTATAATTTTATAAAGATGAATTATTTATTAATGTCATAACATAACATATCTAATATATATCTAAATATATAATATATAATATATAATATATAATATATATTAAAAATCAGAACAAGTTTGAGAATGAATTCATCAATTATAAAAGTAATTATAAAATTATGTTAATATTTTTTATTATATTAATAAACATACTTTAATACCAATTGCAGCCTCATCATCAAGAGGACCTTCATATAACATTTCCATACGATATTTTTGAGCAGTGACAGGAGATGGCAAATGAATAGCAATCATCTGAAGCAAAGCTTCTCCAGCTGGTAACCATGTTCTCATAACAACCTGAAATTTTTAATCATAATCATATATAATCACAGAACTAGTAAATAATTAATTGACTGTTTCAAAAAATTGTTATCAGATTATGTTTATCAATCAAAAAAATTCAGAATAGGTGTCAGAAAAGTTTTGAGAGAATAGTCATCATAAAATAATCTTCAAAATATTAGAAAATATTAAAACGAAAGTTTAAAGAAAAAAAAAAATCTTACCTTAAGAAGAGCTTTACCATCTTTATCTTTATCTTCTGGTTTTAAAACAATTCCTAATTTTTGCAGTAAATTATCCGCTTCGTCTTTTTTATAATTCATAATACTATCAAATACCTATTAATTTTATATTCATATTAACAAATAATTACTATTATTTATTATATATGAATACTGATTAACATACCTTATAAATTGGATCTAAGACATACATGCAAAAGGATCTTTTGTTATCTGTTTCCTTCTGCTTGCTCCACTTCTTAGTTTTGGGGTTAAAGAATGATTCTCCCCATAATCTATTCATAAGCTTTACAACATCAATTTTAAATTTCTCAGCATACATTTCAGAAAATTGTTTCAATGTAAATGCCCAACCATGAAGACCAGATCCAAAACCAACTGAACCTTTGCTAGGATCTACCTATTTGCAAAAAAATGGTAAACATAATCTAATGGATAATAAAAATAAAAATATAAAAATAAAAAATATAAAAATAAAAAGTAATAAAAATAAAGTAAATATATTTACTCTAACTTCACCCATGGGACCATCATCATCTGAATATGTTGCAATAATAACGTTAACATTTTCAACAATACGTTGGAAAGTTTGATAAAGATCTTCACTATCAAGTTGAAGTTCCAAAAGTGCTCTGTCCATTTTGTTCATGAACAATACTGGTTTTATACGTTCAGCAATAGCTTGACGAAGTACAGTTTCCGTTTGTACACAGACACCTTAAAAAAATAGAAAAATTATAATTTTTAAAACTATAAAAAAAAAATAAAATGAAATAATAAATGAATAATAAAATTATGAAATTGTAGCAATTGTGTCGTAGCGTATTAGTCTTGGACATAAAGATAGAGGTCCACCAATAGCGTTTAAACACAGCTGCTTTTTAATCTTCTTCCATTAATACACCATCAACACTGTCCATGTGCATCAGTCAGTTAAACCAACTAATATACTACAGAGTAACGCTATTTGTGCTGGAAGAGATATCAGTTTAATTCAAATCTATTATTTAAAATACATACCAGATACACAATCAACAACTACAAGAGCCCCATCAGTTACACGAAGAGCAGCAGTTACTTCACTAGAGAAATCGACATGACCAGGTGAATCAATAAGGTTAATCAAAAAACCTTTTTCATCTTTATCACGTTGATCAGGATTTGTAATGAAAACTAAATCTTTCTCCTCAAGGGCAAAGAACATAGAAATAGCACTATAATAAAATAAAAATTTTATTTGTAGAAAAATAATTAAAATTAGTAAATCAATGATAAAATTAAATAAAACAATCTTACGTAGATTTAATGGTAATACAACGTTCCTGCTCATCTTTACGAGTATCTGTGAATCTGGTCTCACCAGCTTTAGCACCAGCAATAATACCGGCTTTGGACACAAGGGAGTCAGTCAGAGTTGACTTTCCATGATCAACATGCGCAATGACAGACATATTTCTAATATTTTTCTTTTTGTCCATCATGGCACGTATCTCGTCCACCGTAAAGTTCACCTTTAACAAATAAAAAATTTTGTTATATGTATATAGTTAATATGAAAACTGAAATTGATTAAATCTTCCACAATATAAATTTCACATTAATTCTAATATTATATCAAAAATGTTATTTTTTAATATATTTTTAATACTATTTCAAAACATGAATTATATAATTTCAAAAACAATTTTACTTATTTAAAAAAATTATTTTAGTATTATTTTAAAGAAAAAATTATCCTTATACTGACCATATTGAAATTAAATCTTCATAAATCTTGAGAAATATAATCAACATATATGTATATATATATTTATTTATTTATTATAATAAGAAATATATTCTTATGGATATTTATTTGGACAGCATTTTGTGTTAGAATGATTTCTGCCCCCCTCGAGTGTCACAATTTCCTCATTTCCTATATGTAGTATATTAGGTTTTTCTGTACAATGATTTAAAATCGTTTTCGTAAGTTTTTCAATTCACTAGAAACCGTCGAGAACTTTTCTTGAAGACTCACGATGTTCCGAGAACATGCTGGTTCGTATCAAGAGCCTTACAAAGCTCCATGACACGTTGCCTCTTGAACAAGAGACGAAACATATTTGAACTTTTAATATAGGTAACTTTGAACCTTTGTGCCGTAAAATTTTCAGGAATGTTTCGCCAGAATTTTTGTAGAATCTTCAGAGATTTTAACCCCGGCATATCCATCGCGAGCCTCAAAATTTGTCTTCGAAGGGAGTTGCGCAATCCCAAGTAATCCGCCAGTTTTCAATTTTTCCAAACCCAGGTGACACTCGGTCTTCAAAAATATTTATACCTCTGCACTCCATACATTGTACAGATTTACACGTTCGTGATACTTTAGAAAGATTATACATACCATTTTGGATGTTGTCCGATATCCGTTGGCCTGGTCAGAAATATACGTGCACCAACAATGGCGGACTCCCTGGGAAAGAACAGGAGTTCTGTGAAAGGGATGAACGTTTCATATATGATAGAGGGCACCTCTTGTCACGCGTATTTCGTATTGTGCACAGAGCCAATTGGAATTTTGTAATCCCTACCACGTGGGTTAATTTGCGCGCGCAACTTACAACCGATCATACACGAGTTTAAATGCAATCCGTTAATTTGTGGTAGTCATATAATAGCAATTGTATTTAGTGCTGCCATCTCAATTATTTAAATTGAAATTTTAAAAAAATTAACAATGAATCATATCTTTTTCTAATTAATTTTAATTATTTGTTATAAAGAATATTAAGATAAAATAGATTTTTTTTAATTAAAAATATTTTTTTATCAAAAGAAAAGGAGACAGGAACATGGAAAAAAGAAAAGAATATAGTTTAAAGGTTATGAAAGGAACATCACTTAATATATATAGTTAAATATTATTTTCTTATTTTTGTTAGTCAATATAATTGATATAAAATTCTATATTCAACAAGAAAATTATACAATCTATTCACTATATTTGATATAGATAAATATACAAAAGATATATAAATTATATTAGCATTAAGAAAATAAGAATTGTGTGTTTTCTTATAAAATAATTATCCTTAGAAATATTAATATCAGTGCAATATATATTATGTATTGATACATTATATGCATACAATGAAAGTATTTAACTTTTATAAAAATTAAATATTTCTATTCTATGATTATCTTTATTTTTATCTAAATTTCCTTTATATTGAAAAATGATATGTAAAATTTATATATTATCTTTATTGAAATGTAACATTTCAAACATAAAAAGAAAATATAAATAATAAAACAATTTAATTGTTTTTTACGATATAATTTTTACATAAAAAAAATAGTTAAATCACTGTTATTTTTTTTAACAAAGACACATTATTATATTTATAGTTCAAAATAATTAAAGATGACTTACCTATGATTTCATCAGTTAATAAAATATTCCAATTGTATTTAATGAAAATAAAATTATTATTTTATAAACAAAGTTATAAATCTTCTAATTCTTTTGAACTGCACATATTTAACGATTTCCCTTGCAGCTTCGTTCATGGACGCTTACGCGATCAGGATTAAAAGTTCTTCCGCATCGTTTACATGGAAGCAATTGACTTAAATGAGATTTCCAACTGGCCTCAACCATTGCAGCAACATCAATTGTCATATTTCCTGTTTCTGAATCACCTGTATACAAATTATCTTAATAAATATTTTATTAACTAAAAAATTTTTATATAATATTAAAAATTTGAAAAATATATAAAATCGTTCACACATTCATATATATTAAAAAATATGATTTTAAAAAATTTTTAATCATTAATTATAACTCAAGTTATCTTGTCTAAAATGTTTTTACAATATTTGAACTTTATAACTTTCAGTCTTTAATCATATATATCTTTTTTTATTGATATAGTCACACTCACCTTAAGTTTATTGGTAAAATGCCAGAAAACGCAATTATTATTTAATTCTTTCATATCATGATCTTATTAATTATTCAAAAATAAAATAAAAATCATAGCCTCGATATAAAAATAAAATTATATTAAAATAAAATCAATAAAAATACTCGAGTAAATCAATCTCTGATAACATCAATTAAATCGCTTTGAAAATGTCATATATATATATATATATACTATACTAAATGTGTGCATTTTTTTTACTAATTGAAGTTGGTTTATTCGAAAAATAAACACAATCATAAAATCATATAAGGAAATTGACTTACGAGTATAGATAATTTCAGGATTCTCTAATTCCTTCTTCTGATTCGGTGATAATTTTTGATTTTCAATATACCATTTTTGTAAGCATTGAGGCTCATGAATGGCTATACTAGTAGATCCAAAATCTCTATTACATATGTAACATGTGATCATTTTCTTCTGTTCATTCTCCTAAAACCAATTTTCTTCAAACTCAACTATCTTTATTGATTAATAACACAAGCATAAAACGATACATTTTTATTATAACAATCAAGTCACAAGTTTTTACATAAAATTTAATTTGTACAGGATGAAATAATCGCGAATAATATCGTGCGAATAATTATGTGAGAACATTTATACAAATTGAATGATGTAAGCATGTCTTCCAATACGACTCACCCCCGTTGGCCTGCTTAAATTTTCGTGCACGATCATCATTTCTGATTTTTGTTGTCGAATTGGCTCTTTTTTTCGAGAATGAAACTGTTTATCTGTTTCAGTTTGCATTCGTTTGATACATTGAGGTTCATGAATCTTTATACTTTTAGTACCGAAACTTTTGCCACAAGATTGACAAGTAATCAGAGGAGGTCCTACTCGTGTTATACTTGCAGACTTTTCTCTAAATAAGCTTCCTGTCTTTTCAGTCTCAGAATTCTACAGATTAAGGAATTACAATAAATAATTGATATATTATTAGAATGGAAAATTGTAAATTTAGAGAAATATTTTCACCTTTATAAAAATTTTACAACTTTTCTGATGCACTAACAACCGTTCTGGTAAAAATGTTCTCCCACATTTGCAAGAAATTAATTGTGCCTGAAAATATAAAAACAATGTAAATAAAATAATTATTTACAATAAAAAATATTATTTTGAACATTAACCAATATTATTATGATTAATATATTATTCGAAGAAAGTCCCGGAAAAAAAGTTTTTCCTAAAATCTTTAACTTAATAAGTTGCAATACAATTCTTAGTTTTTAGTTTAAAAGCTATTGGTCTTAAATAATTAAACTTATTTGATAGATATATTTGATAAATACTTTGAAAACGATAAGATTCGGATATTAATGTATATGATATGCTTTTTATATGGAATCAGAGACTTTATATACTTTATATGCATTTCGTTAAATGCACTGGTATGCACATATTTATGCTTATGTATGTATAAGAAATGTGTAAGGGTGAATATTAATGAGAATCACTTTACTCTTACATACATTATGATCGATTTAATCAGTGTAAAGGATATTTCTTCATAAAAGATATTTGCATATGTTGCATTAATAAAATCTAATAAAATTTTTATTTTTACAAGTTACATTTATTAGTATTTATATTTGAAAGATAACAAAAATTTTTAAAAAATGAAATATCATAGATAATATGTAAGTATAAATGAAAAATAAATTTAAAATATAAACAAAGCTGAAAAATATTTGAATAAATCAAAAATGTAAAAACAAATATTTTAATAATTCTTATTTTTTATGTCTAATTGCGAGAAATTATGTAATAAGATTATATTATCATCTGCTAAAGATGTCATCAGCCGTAACGAATATAATATCATTCAATATAATCGAAGTATATATCCATAAAAACAAATATGGAAATATTTAACGAAATTTTTAAATTTTTTTTGATTAATTATATCAAATAAAATTTACTTGAAATTATAAAAAATAAATTAAAAATTAAAAATAATTAATTTATCAAATTAAAAATAATTGCAATTTATATGCTTAAAGAAATTATCACTCAAATACCTGGCTTTCTTCCCATGCTGCTACGTTCCAATCTGAATGATTGATAGTGATATCAGGTCTCTGAGGTATCGGTCGTCTTTGGTTCAAAGGCAAAGAATTATTTTCTCGTTCCCATTTCTATTATTATTAATATTTATCAATTATTTTATATTACTAACAAAAAATTATTATAATTAATGAAAAATAATCAATAATTTTTTCCTCAAATAGAGAATCCATAAATTTATGATAAAAAATTTCTAAGAATAAAATATTATTTTCTAAATAAAAGAAATAATCTCAATATAAAATTTTTATATGATTCATATTTATATGTAAGAAACTATAATATAATATTTTAAATATTCCAATACTCTAAATCAAGAATTATTTATAGAAAAGAAATATGAATTTCAAAGTGTTTCACAGTAAAATAACATAATAATATAATTGATCAATGTAATTTACATATCATAATGTTCTTTCGTAAATAGTCCATAGATGAATATAATAGATCCAGTCGAGATGGTGTACAAATGAAATATCGAATGAAATATATATGACATAAGCATTTATCTATGTAACTGTATAAATCATAAATGACATAACATGGATCACTTTATATCTGTTTTTAACTATAGCAAACGACTGCGAAATATCAGTCATGTGCATGTGTAAATATTACTCATATCAAGATACGAAATAATTATGAATATATCGATTTTACAAAGAACCTTGACGTATTACAACTTATATATTCTATACTATTCTCTACTATTTTATTATATAAATAATAAATATAGTTCAAGTTCAGAATAAAATTTTAAGATAGAAATAAATAAATATAAATCATTCAATAAAATAAATATTTTTATATTGATGAAAATATTGATTTGAAATAGATAAATGATAAAAATAAAAAATATTAACATTTGCATTCTTGATATGATGAAATAAATTTATCATAAATTATAAGAAAAATATTTGTTAAAATAATTATTGTATAATAATGCATTCATTGATGCAACTAACCTGCATGCATCGAGGCTCGTGAATAGGAAAACTGGCAGTCCCAAATTCGCGACCACATATATAACAAGTAACACTCCTTGGTCCTTTCTTAATTGGTGCTGATGAAGGCCTGTACGATGTATTAGATCGTTCTTGATAATAGTTTGATTTGAGATTTTCAATGATCGTTTCCTCTACTTTGCTTTTATTTTTATCGCTACGAAAATTTAGGGCAACAGGTTTTTGAACAGTTTTCGGTATTGTAATTTTTGATTTCGAATTCGTAAAGTTATCCTTCGTTTTAGATTGAGTACTCTTTGGATGACTATGAAACCGTTCTGGTTGATTTGATTTTCCGCAACTTTTACAAGGTTCCGGAGCACTTTTTGTCGAAGAAGCTGTAAACATCTCCAGATCGTATTGTATAGGTCTTGAATTCTTCTTTTTCAACGTAGACAAGGAAACAACCTTCTGGTTAGCCGTTCCGTTTCTAATTGACACGATTAGATCATTAATTTTCAATTTCTAT